CCCCCCCCCTGACTAAAGCTGGATCCGCCCCTGCATACATATATACTTTATACCCATTTTGACGACAGGAAAAAGCGTTTCTTTAATTAATATTGTGAATCCCTGTAGCAGCTCAAGGTTGGCCAAAAGCGTTTTTCTACAAAAAGCATATAAAACATTTGAAGAAAATGAAGAAATACTTGAAGATTTGAGGGAGTCAAAGGTACAAACTGCAATCATTCGCAAAATTGAAAAAAAACTATGGGCAAAAGACCGACAAAATTTCTTGGCGACTTTGCCAAGAACCTTTCCTTTCCTTTCCTTGAACCACTAAAATCGCATTTTGCTGTTGGCCTGAAGCGATCGGTCGCATGAAATTGAATGACAAATCGCGGAAAAATGTCCAGTTTTCGAAAAAGAAATGAGGCAGAGAAGGTGACGCCGCGCGCACAACCGCACAACTCGGAATCATCTGTTCGAAAACTTTGGCCCAGCAAACCGGCGGTGTCAGTATCAGTTCTCAGTTGCGCGTTGTTGCGGAGGAGATTCGTCAGCGTGTTGGCAACACTTCGGGTTTGCGGCGCGTATTTTCGAAAAATCAAAAAACCACAAAAACGATAACTCCTTGTCATGGCAACATCGGTCGGGCTGATGCTGTTCTGCGCGATTCTTGTGCTGTGCGCTGGTGCGATTTTTGCCAAAAATGTGGATACCAGAGCGAGAAGACAGTCGGATACCGAACCAAAACCCTGCGACAGCATGGCGCTTTATTTCGACGTGAAAAATATCACCATTTCGGGATATTACAATCAGACCGGTAGGTAACGGCGGCTTTATTGCACTCGGGCGTTTATCGTCCGATGCGCCAGACAAAAACTGCAATTTTTTCACTTTCGCTTGGGATATTGATAAAGAAAAGCGCTTAACAACAGCGCTAATTAATCTTACGGTTCTGACAACAATAAATCACTCAGTAAATCAAGTATTTATTTATACCTACTTATATTGCGCTGCATAGTTTGCAGTCGTTAGCTCCTAACCGCTCGTCGGCTCTATATTACTGATTTGTTGCTCTCTAGGATCTAAGGCCACAATTAACCAATTAACTGAATGTAATGACTCTTTTTTACAAAAAAATTCTGGCAGTTTTAGATGACCCAGTTGCATGGCCGTCCAAATCTCCTGACTTAATCCTCCTTTATTTTTGTAAATATGTCGTTACCTTGAATTTGACTACTCACCTACTATTTGTATAGGTTTTTTTCGTAACTTACATTTTCTAATCAGTAAAAGATGCATATTTAGGTCTGTGGGTTGTTCGGTCAATAGATGGTGACCAAAATAAAACACTATTTTTCATTTTGTTACAAACTTTTTTGGGTATTCGCCTCAAAAATTTTTGCCTTTAAAAAAGACAGAATTTCCTCACGTCTTTTATTACAGATTGATAAATGGTGCTCTTATTTCGCAATAAGGACGAATTATTTATCAAAAAGTAATTAAGAACTATCACCTAGAGGGTAGCCTAAGTGTGTCGCACACTTAGGCGCTGTAAGAGAAAATTCCTATTAGTAAAGAAATTAATTTGAAAAATTACCTTGACGTTTCGATAGCTATTTTCTGCTATCGTTATCAAAAGAACCTAAATGAACCTAAAAACGA